GGTGGGTGGGTGGATAAATCTCTTGGGAAGAGCACGAGGAGGGTCCTGTGTCCTGTGGGAGTGCAGTGCTCCCTGCTGTGTTGGGCAGAGGGAAAGAATCACCCCAGGACCTTCTGCTGCTGGAACTGGGCTGAGACTCTCCATAAAAACCACCTCATGTGTGGGGAGAGCTCTGTGCTCACTTCCTAGGGATGGGTCTGGCCTGGACGTGGCCCTGAAGTTTTGGCTCTCTGAGCCCCAGAGATGTCTGTGTGTTAGTGATGCTCTGCCTGGGGAGCTTTAGTAGCCCCAGGGTTGTGACCAGCAGTGCAGAGGAGACACACACCAGTGCTGAGGCATTCCCAGGATCATCTCAAGGAGCACAGGTCTGGGGAGGTGTTTGTGGGCTCAGCTGTGTCTGTACTGCAAGAGGCAAAAGGGAGGAAATTAAGGACCTGTCAAATGTCCCTGTGTGACTTGGAAAGGGTCTGTGCAGGGCCTGGGGAGGCATGGAACACAGGAGGAATGTGTGCAGGGAACTGGGAAGCATAGAACATGGGAAGGATGTGTGCAGGGCTTTCCTTTCCTCTTCTGCAGAGCTGCTTGGCTGTGTTGACTCCCATCCATGAACAAGAGCTCCCTTTGGGGATCTCTCCCTCACTCACCCTCTGCCCTTGGACTTTCCCAAGCCAAATGAGGGACAAACCCTCTGGTTACAATCAGCCAACAAGAGGAGGTGTGAGCAGAGCTGCCCTTAGCCCCTGAGGTCACGTTGAGCAGCCACCAGAGCTGACCTGGAGGCATCTCCTCCTCTTACTTCCCATTCCTGTCCCTTTGCTGGATGGAAACAGAGACTGGCCATGGCTAGATGCTCTGACCTCCCACCCAGGAGCCTTTCCCACCCCATGCCATGGCACCAGGCAGCTCCAGCCCCCTGTGCCTGGCTGTGCCAGAGCCTCTGGTGCAGGTGGCCCCCATTAAGTCATCTCTGAGATTAGGGCTGTTTTCAGAAGGTTCCTTTGAGTGGAGGTTTGTTTGTGTAAATATTTGGACGTTTCTCAGGCTGATTATCCAGCAACCTGCACCTCATGCATATTCAGAGGCCTCAGATTGCCTCCTCTCCTGAGTGTGGGAGCAGGGCTGGGTCCGTGGCTGAGGATGGTGGGGATGGCACTGGGAGAGCCCATGTAGCTGTGCCCTGAGCTGGTGCAGCCAGTGCCAGGACTCTGGTGCTGCTCTGATGCCTGCAGTGCTGGTGGGATGCTGAGCACACCTCACCTGGCCATCCCTGGGCATCCCTGGCACAGGGACAGCACCTGCCCAGCAGTGCCCAGTGCTGACCGAGGCAGAGGGAGGAGCAGGATGGCTGAGCACAGAGCCTGGGCAGCCTCAGGGCTCCTGGCTGCTCCCTGGGAAGGTTAAGAGCTGTTGAAAGCAGATGCAGAGGCTCCAGCACAGCTTGTTTCCAGCTCTGCTTTGCATCCTGCAACCCCCATCATCCACATGCTCAGCTCATGTCACTGCTGATCCCCTCCCAACCAGCCCCCACAGACCTGCCTGGTATTTTCTACTCTACAACTCCCTCACTCCATCCCTGCCATTTCCCTGCTTTTCCCAAGGTAAGCAGCGTTTTCCAAGGAGTTCAGCTTCATCCCAAGCTTGGTCTCCTTCATCTCATTGCACGAATGAACCCAATTGCCCTTCTGGCATGAGACATGGGAACAGCCTCTCCAAACCCCTGAGAGAGAGAGAGAAGCCTTGGAAAGCTCCAGAGCTGGGAGACCTTCCCGAGCCAGCAGCATTCAGGGCACTGTGGGGAGGTTTGCCAGCTGCTCCTGTGCTGGGAGAGATTCTTGCTATCTCCTACAGACAGGAATTGCTGCCTGGTCCTTGAGGAACACCCCAAGCTACCCCAGGGATGCAGTAAGAGAACCTGAGATGGTCTTGGATCTTCCATGACTTCTCCAGGAGCGACAGACTGCAGGGTCTCTGCTGTGGGAGGAGGAATTCAGGCACACTCTGCCTCCTGTGTGGCTGTAAACATGCTCTGCTCTGATATGTGAGAGATATGAGGCTCATTTCATCCAGGACATGGAGCAGAACAGCTCATCTCTGGGGATGTGCTGTGTGTGCAGAGCAGGGAGGGGATGGTTCTCCCTCCTGCAAGGAGCTCAGTGGTGGTGGTGGCACTCCCAGCTGCTCTCCCTGTGTGTACTCACAGGAGCAAGGAGTTCTCTGCCTCAAACACGAGCATCCCTGCCCTCTGTGTCCCTGGGGGTGACAGCCCTGACCTCATGCTGTCCTCAATATTATCCTCAGTGTTGTAGCTGATGAGCTGAGGCACAGGGACATGTGTCAGGACTGCGACACGAGCTCCAGGCGTAGCTTTAGGTTTCTGTGCTTTTCTACCTCCCTCTCTGCCAATTCCTCTGCTGACATCAGCACAAAAAGCCAGGACAGCACTTCTGCTCCCAGGGATGGTGGAAGGAATGGTGTTCAACCAGCCCCTGGCCACAAGAGCAAGATCTGGACGAGCAATGTACTCTGACACTTGTCCCTGTCTCTGTTCCCTGCAACAGGCATCATGTCCATTACGTTATCCCGTACGACGGGGACCAGTCAGTGGTGGACTCCTCGGAGAACTACTTTGTGACTGACAATGTAACCAAGCAGGAGATTGACCTGATGCTGGGACTTTTGCTGGGCTTTTGTATAAGCTGGTTCCTGGTGTGGATGGATGGAGTTCTCCACTACGCCGTGCGCGCCTGGAGGACCAGTCGGCGATATGGTAAGTGCAACCACAGCTCCTGCTCTTCCCAAATCCCAACCTGCACTAAATCCTCTGCTCTGCCCTCAGAGCCTGGTGGAGAGGGAGCAGCTCCACTCCCTTTGCTGAGTTTATTCCATGTGGGTTTGGCACAAGTCTAGCCAGGCATATCCCAGTCCTCTTTACCCCAAAAGTTGGGCTTGATGATCCTTGTGGGTCCCTCCCAGCTCAGGATATTCCATGATTCTATGATGCAAACAGGAGTGTTGATGTGGGAATAGCCAGATCCCAGTCCCAAGGGCACAAGCCTAGCCAGACACATTCCAACCCTCTTTATCCCAGGAACTGGACTCAGTGTCCTTACAGGTCCCTTCCAATTCAGGATATTCCATGACACAAACAGGAATGTTGCTGTGGGAATAGCCAGCTGAGGATCCCAGCCCTGAGAGCTGTGCTTTGGAAAGGGGAATGTGTGTGTTGGTGCAAAGAGGTTTTGGATGCAAAGGAATATGTTTCCCCCCCTCCGTGGCTGCACACATGGGCAGAATATTTTCAGGCCAGACCAAACTTCCCTGGAATCAGGACTTTTTTCAGGCTCATGCTGATGCAGAGCAGCCTCGTGTTGGTTGTGTAAACCTGTGACATTGTGGTGACAATGATAGACATCTGTGTTGTGTCAGCTGAGGTTTCCCATCCCCCTTGCTGCCCAGATGTGTCCATGTTTTTGCAGAAGTCACATCAGCCCCAAGGGGAGAACTCTTGGCCTGAGCAGTTAGAATCCTGAATTAACACCCTGAGAAGGACCAACAGATGCTCCTTCAGAGGCTCTCTCTGCCCCACTTTGCTCCCTCAGCATGGACATCCCATGGATTTTAATCTAGAGGAGAAAAAAAAAGGCAGAAAACCTATTAAACTAGTGAATGACTTAAAATTCCCTCAGTGTACCTACAAATCTCCATCTCCCTGACTGATGGTGTCTGTTAAATTATAACTCAGAGGAGAGGGAGAGTGAGCAAAGGAAGATTTATCTGTCCATTTATAAGAAACTCCAATTAGTGAAGTGGCCTATCTCTTTCTAAAAACTCAGATGAAAATGATATTAATTTCTCATCACTCTTCCCAAAGCCCCTGCAGCCTGCTGGAGCAGCTTCTGAGGCAGAGCTCTCCTGAGGCTCTGCTGCTGCCATTTCCCAGGCAGAAAGGTGATTGTCAGAGTTTGCAGTGAGGTCTCAGGTCCTGAGCCAATTCTGAGGCTGTGACACCTCCTTTTCCTCAGGCCACCTGTGCCTGGAGCTCCCAAGGAGTCCAGAGCAGCTCTCCTTGGGTGGGATGTTCCTCAGAGCTACAGACATCACCATCTAACCTACCTCTTGTCCATACTGCAGAGGAGTTTATTTTAATTTAGTATTTAGGCTGATTGGTCTCTTCTCTTCTACTTTTTTCCTCTCTGAGTGTGTCTACTCTAAGGTTTTAAGAAGGGTTTGGCCAACACTGTGATGTCCTTTTCATTCGGTCAACTGAATCATTGTAAAGGCAATAAGCAGAAATTAATCCCTATTGCTTTGCTGAACAAATATCTAAGCTAAAGTTTCCTTCTAAGGCAAGAGATGGTGCCTGTGGCTCTGAGACAGGGGCAGGGGGAATAGAAATGCTGTGCTGGTACAGAACCAAGAGCCTTCCCTGAGATACATGAGCACCACTTAGCAGTGACTCAATGTCACATTGTGGCCTGATCAGCTTAAATCGTGGTCTGGTGGAATAACCTATAGCTCCTTCCTGATGGAAGAGATTTCTTAAAATAGAAAATATTCCACAGAAGCTCAGATTGTGCTTCGTAGTAGCTGCAGGGCTGGTCAGAGCAGGCACAGCCACCTCGTGCCAGCTGCAGTCAGAGACTCATTGAGGGTGGAAAAGACCTCAAAGATCAAGTCCAACCATTTCCCAGCACAATAGTTTGGTTTTGTACCATCTGTCACTCTCTGAGACACCCCAATTGTCCTTTGTGGGGTTGGGCTGTGTGTGTTTCTGTGTGGAATCACCTCAAACTCTGATGGAACTGGATGAGAGCTGAGACATTGCTGCAGGGAAAGGTTCATGGGCTGAGATGAACCCCTGGATGAAGAGATGAGGCTGCCCAAGCTGTGGGGCAGGGAATGGCACATTGCTGCCACACACACCTCATCCCTATTCCATCCTGATGGGAAAGCTCAAGGAATTGCCTCTGTGGGGCAGGTCAGGGACAGGCTTAGGAGAACACAAATCACACCATTCCTTCAACATCTCATTCTCCCTTCTCCTTTCTGCCTTCCAGACAATTCCTGGTCCTGGATTCCCAAATTTTGTAACCTAAAGGAGTTGAGGAAACGTCACCACAGGCAGTACGAGGAGGCAACTGGGAACATGGTGCACATCAAACAGAAGCTGTACCATAATGGCCACCCCAGCCCAAGGCACCTCTGAGGAATGCTTTCCCCTCCAGAGACTGCAGGGAGCTTCTCCAAAGGACTTTGCTCTTCTTCTTCCACTGGAACAGCTTCTTGTTTGCTCCTCCATGGAAGTCAGCTGAGGACTCAGTTTTACTGACCCAGCCCTGGGGCACACCATGATGCACAACTAAGCCAGTCCTGGATGCTAAGCAGCCAAGACATTGCACTGTGTTCCACATTTTATTGTCAGACTTGTGTATATATGTAAAAAAAAAAAAAAAAAAAACCACTCTGTACTTTGTATAGATTAGTTTTTAACTGGATTAAACTGCAACTCAGCACAGTGACAGATGTTTAATGTTTTATTTTTAGCGGGTGGAAAAGAGGCGAGTTTCCATCTATACACACAGAATGTTGGCCAAGGGTATGGAGGTGGGACAACACAAAGAAGATGCAGAGTGTCTCATCCAAGAGCTCAAGTCCCCTGTTTCTTTGGTCCTTTGGCTTGGTTTTGCTCTGCTCTGTCCCTTTCGTGGCTAGAATGGCTTGGCTGGTCACAGGTTTGGATGGGAACTGCTGCCAGGGGGGTGGGAATGCACAGTGTCCCTTTTTGCTTTGGTTCATGTGCTGGGGAGTTGCTGTGGGGGAAGGAAGGCCTGGGAATGTCTAAGTGGTTCGTTGTTTGCATTGCTATACACTGAAACCTGCCTTAAGCAACCCAAGAATCCTAGTGCCAGGGGAACAGTCCCATGAGGTATCAGGGCTGGGGCTGCTTTGCTCCTCTGATCCACTGCTGGTTCCTGGCTGGGGTCAGAGCTGTTGTTCTTCACTAGAGAGGAGTGGGGAGGAGTGGAACTGTGTTAGATCTGATCATATCCCTCTGTTCATAAACACCCCCCATGCCTTGCCTGGGTGGAAAGGAGCTGCTCTCCCTCTTTTCTTACAGGGTGAGCCCAAGGCCTTGGTTAATACCACACCAAAAGCACTGACAGTGCAGTGAGAGGGTCCTGGGAACAGCCTCACTCCTCCTGCACAGGAGCTAACACCTATTTCTTGTGTTCCTGGCCCAAGCTGGAATTGCAGCAGGCTGAGCTTGGCTTGAGGGGCACAGAGGGACGTGAGCCTGAAGCCAAACTCCTCCACAGAGTCAAGTGTCCCAAATGTTGTCATGGTTGAGCCAAAGGAGGAGGATGCTCTGATGTGGTTTTGCCTTTGCTTCCCCTGGTCGCAGCTTGGGCAGCTGTTGAGGGTCTGAAACCAATCTCCACATCCAGAGGTGCCTGAAGGAGCTGCTGCAGCCCATGTGCACCAGCAGCTCTGGGTGTGGTGGGAAGAGAGGGAATTTATTGAGAGGAATAAAGGAGGGAGATGCTAACCCCAAGAACTTGAGATGGTAACCTCGAATCCCAATCATTTCTCCTTCATTCTTCATTTTGTATTGAGTTGGGTTTGTGCTTAAGTGGGGAAAACACCCAGAAGCAAAGGATGATGGATATGGCCAGAAATTGCTGGTTTCTTCCATGATGTTGTTGGTGGATTCCTGTTGGTTGGTGGCAGTGTCTGTGGAGGGAAAGGACACCATGACTCCTGCTCATTCCTCCTGCTCCTGTGTCTTGGGTTGTTTTATTTCCTCTGCCCAGGATCAGTTCAGTTACTTACAATCCCCAAAGAGCCAAACATACCCATTTCTCTGCCATTCCTCCCTTTGCTATTCCCCAGTGCCTCTTGCCTTGGAGCCCCAGTTTCTGTCTGGGCCTAAATAATTGCCTGGTCCATACTACTGTCTGCTTGACTGTCTGTCATTCCAGACTCCCTATGGCTGTAATGTCTGCATCCACCTGTTAGGATCTAAGGAATGACTTTTCCTTGAGCAGGATTGATCCTTGAGCAGCTCCTTTCCAAGACACATGGCCTTGCAGCCTCCCTTGTGCCATGAAACTGTCAGGGAAGAGTAGGTCCTGTGTTATGAACAGCCACATGTCTTCAGGTGGGACAACAGTTTGTAGAGGAGAAAATTCCATCGTGATAAGGACAAAGTCTCCGAAACTAGTGATGGGGGGGAGGGGGGAAAAAAGCACTTTAAATGATCTTTCCACTTGGAGCCTCTCCCAAGAGAGGCTCGAGGCAGTGACCCAAGCCCAGCCTGAATGTAAAGCCTAGTTCTGCCCTGCTGACCTTGGTTGAAGTATCATTAAA